GGCGACGGTGAGCATGGGCAGAAGGCCGCTGGGCGCTGCCCTCTGATTGGTGGAGCGGACAGACCATTGCATGCCCGCACAAGCAGCACGTTCTGAATTACAACCGCTGTGGGCACCCTGTGGCCTTCTGTCCACGTATATGAAACACCAAGAACCCTGCAAAATGCGAAGGTCGTGAAGGTGGAGGAGCTCGTGCGTTGGGTCGGATGAGGTACGTTCTCATTCGTACTCCGCCCACTGGCCGCTACTCTCACTGACACTTGAAGATCTCATGCCAGCCTTGAAACTTCGTACACCTGTGTTAAGCCACATGCAATCTGCCTTCATTGTAGTCATTGTCAAGTTAAGCAGGTAGTACACGTACACAGTCTTAGTAGAAGTATACAAATACAATTTGTAGCTGTTTTATATGAGTGTGATTGAGCCAATATGTCCGTCTTACCCATAAGCATGCCGCATTGAGCTTGTCTTGGTTGACTGTCTTGAGAGTCTTGGCCAAGACCAGGCGTCTTCCCAAGACAAACAACATAGCTTGGCTAACACTGGATGTCTTGGGGTCTTGGGCGTCTTGAGCATGTTATCCAAGACGCTCAAGACGCTCCCCAAGAGCTGGCGGTTTTGCTGATGGAGACGAGGGCTTCGACACGTTGGCATGCGTCATCATCGAAGTGTCGATGGCCACTTGCTTATTTTCTTCATTTACTGCTATTAGGAATGGCGAAAAGCTAACTGGGAAGATTCTTTCTCATCCTGAAACCAAGAAGGACGAGGCTATTCGCAAAAGATACTACTCGTTTGCATGTAGCCCTTCAGCTTCTCGGCCGAATGGTATCCCAGGTTCGAAGAAGCTGCCTCGCCAATTTACGCCCTTACACAGAAAGTGAGGCCCTCCGTGAGTTACTAGTACGCATAACGCACCAAGTGCCACGCCATCTCATGCGACTCATTCTTAACTTACAGCCACGCAACAACCTTGACTTGGACGCTCTTGGGATAGCATGATGTTACGCTCCTCTCAACGCTGTAGATTCCTTGGCAGCGATGGGGCGAAGTTACTAGTTTGAACGCGATGGTGACCTCATAATCATCCAATAACCACAACACGCTAGTCGAAGGACGGTGCATTAGATGACCTATTTGAGCAGATCTTTCCGCGGGTCAACCATCGCTGAGGATAGGCGCAGGCGGACGAGATATTCATGGTAGTCGAGGCCTCAAGGTCAAGGGGCATTTCGCAGGCACGACACTGCTCCAGGGCTGGATCCCAGCCTGATATCCCGGTACGTTCTGTGTTAAATATACCTCAGATGGCACGCTGACAGGCTTCTTAGATCTTTCATGCTCTTCTAATTTATACAATATTTAGCCTAAGAAGTCAAAGGCGAATGGTTGGTCCTGAGTGAACGGAACGACTCGTCTTTAACAGTCCGATCTTCTAGTCTTCCCATATCATGCGCGTATCGTTGCGGCTGCGATGCAAGGATCCTATTTGTCAGCCGAAGAAATTCTTTTCTTGGTTTGTAGCGTGCTGTCTCGACGAACACCTGAAAGGAATGAGTTAAACTACGAAAGACACCGGAACGCAAACATATTCCCTGTTCTGCGGTACTAGGCCAAGCACAAGAGATTATACAAAATGCACGGTTTTACAACCTCGGATTGAATACTTCTCAGGCTGATCATCCTTCATTGTTAAACAGAGACTTACGCTGGTCGACGCCTACAAGTGCACTAGAGACTTCGCCCAGGCTCAAAATCGTCCATTGACCCATCTAGCACAGCGCTTAAGTACCCATCGGCAAAAAGGGACGGAGATTATATTGCATTAAAATGCAATATAATGCGATCTGGTCCGTTATCTTGCATTATGAACTCAAAAATCACTAAAAATCGCATTATAACTAGTGTTGCCGCAGATGAGCCACGAATTGGACCGGTCCAAAATCCGGCATTATCCGCACGTGGCGGATAATGATGAGTTGGCCGCCAGATAATCCGGCAGGTTGTGGGAAAGCTGACAAAGACACTATATATGGTAGGCAACTGTACTCACTGAGCAGACGGAGACTGGCGAGGCTCAAGTGGGGACAGCGTAGCAGATGTATTAGTAAATTATTAGGATTCAGTCTCATTAATAGCTTCTCTAGTTCGTTCACATGGCCTTCTGCAACCATTCTATCAATTTTTGTTCTACTGAGACTGCCGGTGCCAGATCACCCTCGGAAGCCAGCCTGCCCCACCTCTCACCGCGCTGCCGCAGATACAAATGCTTCAGAATTTGAAGCCCCTCCATCACTTCAGGGGACAAATTAATCCTTCGGAGAGTATCCATCTCCTTGCTCGATGAGAAGACGCGCTCGCACGGGACAGCAGAAGC